GTTTTTAAATTGTGACTGTCCTCTGAAACGATATACTCTAAACAGAAGAAAATGTCGAAAAGGTGGGAGAGGTTTATTGATGACGAAGGCTGGTAAGAAATCAATTTGGAACTGAACAGAATTACATAAATTTATTGTTTTTTGAACATGCTAAGTGAAGTTTTTCATACAATACAGACAAAAATGTTTATATGTTTGGTAGGATTGAGAATTTTTTCCCATCTTTTTACTCACATAGGTTGTTAAAATTGATTATATATATTTAGTTTGACCTGTTATAAGGCTGCATTGGTTTGACTTTGATTCTGTAAGTGGGATTTATGTTCTCTGTTATTTCTTCCAATGTCTTTCTGGTTTTCTAGACGGTGCACAAGGCGGGCCATAAAAAGGAGCAAACTGAGCAGCCGCCCCCAAGTGAGGACACTTTGCATCCAGTGTCCAAAGAGTCCATGATGATGAACTTTCACTGGGACATGAAACGGGAGGAGGACTTGAATGAGTGTGAAGAGAAGAAGGAGGGAGAAGAGAAAGAGACAGGAGGTCAGGAGGACGTCAGCCAAGCTCAGAATGATGATGATGAGGAGGAGGAGGAGGAGGAGGAGGAGAGAGATCTGCTCATCGTCACGATGACCAAAACCAGCATCTCTGTGGTGAGAGGACGAGGCTGCGACGGCGACAGTCCTTGTCAGGGCTGTCACGGGACAGGATGCATCCTCAGTGATGTCGTCATGGTGTCAGAATCCAGCACAGTGACCCTCGGTGAGTGAGACGGATTCTGGTCTCTTGTCTGCTTCTTCTACTCTTGTCTTGTCGTTTATTCTTCTGCAGCAACAACAGTAGTGATGTAGTTAGTGTATTAGTTTCTATCTTCTGTTTTCACATTAATTTCTATATTCAAAAATACAACATATTAGACTTTGTCAAAGTTATTTCTGCTGTTATCACCTGCTTATACACAGTCTGCTAAACTTTATCAACAACGACAGGCATTCATGTTTGACATTAGTAGAGCATAGAAAACTGAATACAACAAACAATCTTTTTATATCAGAAGGAGGAAGAGAGTGATGGCACAAGTATTCAGACCTGTTGAACTGTTGAACATCAAAATCTTACTTTACAAATAAATGTGCTGCAAAAATCATACTTAGGTAACAAAAAAAAGAAAAGAAAAAGAAAAGAGAGAGAGAAGGTTTTATCAGCTAAATATATTTCAAGTATGAAAACTTCAAGTATACATTCTATAGACAAGATTGATATATCACATTAGTGAATTGTAAAAAAAAAGAAATGCTAGATGAATGTGCATGTGTTATTTGACTACTAGTTTTAACTGCCCTATACACAGTTTGGTAGTTGAGTCTAGATTTAGCCTATAAATGTAAATGTTAGTATTATTACTTTAGATGTATTTTGTATATTCATGCTAGCTGTGGCGTTGTCATTGTGGATTCACCTCTAAAATCTCATAATAAATCTAAATGTAGCTGCACAGGAGTTCTTTCATCTGAGTGCATTTACATGTGAATCTGGTATTCTGGTTAAGGTCTGGCTGAAGTTGAGTTTTTATGTAACTAAGCACCCATTTCCTGGTTTCTGATCATTTCTTAAGGTTTTAATAGACATAAGTTAGTCAGTAAAACACAAAAAGGCAAATGAAGCTGAAATAAAGGGAAAGTCTGATGTGATTTTTTATTTTTTTTTACTTTCCATTGGCAGTGATGGAATGAGGAAGCTAAATCAAACCGGGTCTGGAAGGCCAGGATTCTAAATGTGTCCTTTTTGAAAAATTCAGTCGGCTGACATGTTTAAAAATCACCTGCAGACAGACAATCGTGAAAACTATTGTGATCATTCATACAAGGATACGAATGACCTGGTTTTTCAATGCAAATGTCCCTTTTTAAATAAGTTTTAAACAACAACAGGATGAGATAAGATCACGGCTGTAGAAAGCAGAAGTTACTATTCTGAGAGCAAAACCAGAAAGCAGTTTTAGATCACTGTGCAACACCAGTTCACAAAAAGATGAAATACTGAATGAGGAATCAGTCACCTGTGAGAGTAAAGACCTCAAAAAGGAGGATTACAACAACTCTGTAAGCAACTCGACTGTAGAACAAGCTCATCACCACTGACTGGTCTTTTTTTCTTACCAAGAGGATTCAATTTATGACGTTTATGATCTCCGTTTGATTGTTCCCTGTCTCACTTTCAGTTCCAAGAGGAAGTGGCAGTTTCAAACAGGAAAAGCTGTCAAATGTTACAGTCGAACATGTCGACACTCACCGATACCTCAGAGGTCACTGTTCGCAGAGGAGCCTCTACGTGTCACCAAATCCAGGTTTGTCATCCGGAGCAGGAAAAACATCAACATGTCACCCAACATCGCTTCTTTTTATTTTTATTTTTATGTATCTATCTTTTGTGTTCAGAAAAGATTACCATCTACTACTACAAGTCAAGCTTTATGGACAGGAATTTCAGAGGCGTGCCAGTGGTCCTGAACCTCACCCAGTCCAACTGCTATCTCAGGTGCTGCAAGGAAGGGGCCAGAGTGTTCCTACAAGTGGAGGTAATAACAATAGA